CCTGGTGTATTTTGAAACCATTTGGCTCCCAACGTGATCATTGTGTTTTGGGACTCTTTTGAGTAGTATTTCCTGTATACATGTATTTGTCACCTGATTTATTATTTGTATTTAAAAAAGGAATCGTTATTTGAAGACCTATCATTTCATGACGTAAGAATCGTCGTTGGAAAAAAAAAGAATAGTTAAAAAGCACTTATTACCTTGTCAACAATATACCAACTTCGCAATTTAAATCTGAATGATAATTTGTAAAATGAACATAGTCTCTCTGATCAAGCAATATGCTAACACTAACGATATTGGTGCACGGCGTGCGACAAGAACAAACAGTAAAAAACAAATAAAAAGGGGCTAAATCGGGTCTGCCAAAAAAGCGAGTTCTTTCTAATTCCATCCATCTAACTTTTTAAACTACATTCTAATATTCATAACTTTCATTTCTAAATCTAAACCACGTCACCTTTTTTTAACAATACATCTATAAATAACTAAAACAAATTTTCCCTTTCAACTCACTATAATTACTTAATATCATTAATATCTAATGAAGAACAACACAGATTTGTGCTCGGAAATTATATAATTTATTGCTTTTATTAGAAACAAAATCATCTATTTGAAAATATCCCCGCGCAGAATAAGCTCTACCAAGCAGCTCTATACTTTCTAACAGGAAGTAAAGCAGGTCAAGAGCTCGAGATTGTTGCTGATTGCATTTACATTAAAACATTAAAAACACCATCCATAAATCCATAAGTGAGATAACCTCTCTTCTCTTCATCAGAATGGAATAATTTTCTAATTTGCAAAAAAAAAAAATTCTTTTAACAATTTGTTTCCTTTCTCTGAATAAAAAAAAGTAAAAACTATTTTAGCGACTCATGAGTTACATAAAAGTAAATTTTTTTATGATAATCTAAAAAGGGAAAAAGAGAGACTTTTATGTCTTATACTTTTCCCTAGACGGCAGCATAATTAGAAACCGACTTTTTCATTTCAATCTAACATACGTTTTCACACCAGATCTGATACATCTTTCCTTACTCCCATTGGAAAACAAAATGGGCTACACGTGGCGTATAACAAAGATCTCTACAAATAGCAACATGCTTCGACCATTAGCGTAAGGAGAGTCATAGAAGAAGGAAGTACGTTAGTTTCTGTCTTGATTTTCAAATACATAAATTAAAAACTTTTAAGTTAGGAAACTATATGGAACTGAAAATTGCATTGAAAATAATTCTAAAAGTAAACATCATGGATTTTTTTTAAAAAATTAACAGAGAAATGAACAATGAACATTGCAACAATTGAACATTTAAAAAATTAACATTAATAAACTTAAAAGTGCACTTTATTATGTAAATTATGTTTATTTTAATTTCTCACTTGTACTTTTCTTGTACTTGTTTTTATTTTTATGTTGAATATGCACATTTATATGGATGTCATGCACTATTAATCTTTTTCAACTAATAGGAGAATAGAAATAGGAAAACCTGATGCAGAGTTTTTCTGTTTAAAAGAGAATTTATCATATCACAGAATGAATTAAAAAAGACAATATGAATTAAATAAAAAAATTGACTGAAGCAGTTTTTTACGAATTTGAGATTACAATACTCGAATACGTTATCTGGGGAGAAGACCGGTTCCATGAGCTCAAACCTCGCAGACTTCGAACGAGCTAGGAAGAGAAAAATGACGTCAACGTTTCTACTCCTAGGGAAAACCTGAAACCTCGCGCTTTCGAACGGATTTTGCTCACGGGCTGCGATCTTCATTTTTCCTCCCATCTATCGGAAAGCTTTCACCTAACAATTTGCTGGTGAAAGCGATTCGAACGTTCGAATAGGATGCGTTTAACGCTGGGATTAAATTAGATTTCCGATTTCAAAGATAATTTTTACCCAGATATTTTATGATTTTTTATAATCATTTACCTAGATATTTTATGAATATATTTCAGACATAATTTTTTCTCTCACAAATTTATTATTTCATATAATAAATGGATTAAGTAATTAGTTTCGGTTTCTAGCAGAACTTTAATAAAATCTATAATAATCCTGCACGACTTTAAATAAAACGTGAACATTTTTTCTGTTCCAAATTTTTGTGTATTCTTAGCCATAATATGTTTAGTATAATTATTGCCATGTTTTTATTAACTTTTATTTTAATTACCTCGAAATATTTTCAAAATATCTGCAGAAAAAAAATGGAATTTTTTTCTTTAAAAAATTGGTGAGTTATGACTGAGATTAGTGCCAAATAAATAAAAAAGATTACTATAACTAAAATAGTATAAAATTTAAATAAGAATTACTATAAATTGTATGCTTATTTTTAATCCGCTATGCAATTTTCTATCAGAGATTTGAAAGAATTGAAGCTTTTAGAATATGATCGGTTTTGTAATTTTTATAAAGTAGTTGATTAGTTTAGATGCATAATTAAGAAGCATAATTTCATTTATTTTCACTTGTCTTTTGAGTTGGGTAGAATATAAGTGGGTAATAAAAAGCATGGAATATGAAGAGCGGAAATTTTTTCGATATAATCGTTTTTGAATTATTATTAAGTTGCAGTTAAATTTAGATGCATAATTAAGAAACATTTTTATTATTTTTTTTATTTTTCTGTTCATACTTTAAATGCGAAAATTTCATCTTTTATTTTCTAAGACAAAAAGATATTTTTACTCTTATATCTATCTATAATGCCAAAATATATTCGACAATTTATTTTTTGAAAAATTATCTATTATTTTTAGGAATAAA